GTTTGAAATTCCAAAAATAAGAAATTTCTCTCTTTACTTTTAATTCTTGTATTGTGAGAATGTTGGAATTTGTTAGTCGACCTCAGTTATGGAGCTTTCATTGAATAAAAGAATGCTTTCTCATATATGAGTTATGGAATTGAAGCGGCCTCAACAAGACTGTTTAGCGTGCAAGTAGAATAAAGTTTCGAGTTTTTTGTTTCAGGGTATTTGTTATTATTTGAAAGTCGGTGAAAGTGTAGATATGGAATGGTACAAGGATCTGCAGGCTAGGACATGTTTTTATTGTGTGTGATGAAAGATTGATCGCTTCCAGAACGAGGTAGCAACTCTGACTATTTTGATCTTTACCATGTACACTCGTGGCTAATGAGATTTGATTTGTTATTGTAAAATCATTTCTTTGTTTTGGCTTTAGATGATTATTTAAGACTTCTGTGGTGGGTCTTATAAACAGTCTTTGATGCTGATGGCTGACCTAGGAAAGGGCGACGGTCCGCCAACTCCCACTGTGATGGCATTTGATTTCAACTGGCCGTCTAGACGGGTGGAACAAATGCGCCAGTAGCAGAACCTGGACAAGCTCAACTTTTTCAATAAGGTTCGTGGTGGATAGAATTAAGAATTTTTCCGAGTTGAGGTATTTGATTTAGATGGGCAAATGATATAATATTATAGAAGTTGGGATGACTTTTAAATATCACATTTTGTCCTCTGCTCTATCGTTGTACTTAATTGTATTTTTCTCTGGATTATTTTTTTTTTATTTTTTTTTTATGGGTAGTTTGTGCTCCTGAGTAGGAGGTTCTCAACAAATAATACTACTCAATTGCTGGAATGGGAGGTATTGGTGTCCAATGACTGATCCCGCTGCACTCAGTCTGTTGTTGCAAAATCCAACTGTGGCAGAGATCACACGGAGCCTGCTTTCCAATCCTCAGTACATGGAATAGGTACAAATATTATTTTGGGTTTTTGGTTAAATATTTTTTCATTTGGTAACTGAGGTATATTAGTGCATTGTTTCCATTAAAGAGAAGAAAAAATAAAATTTTGTTTTTCTGCTCTAATTCCCATAGAGTCCAAGAATGAATTGTTTCAAAGTTAATCTGGATTAAAGTTGAATCGGTTATATTTTTTATTTGCTTCAAGTCCTTTTTTGATTAACAATTATTCTTGATGATTCGTACAAATATATATTGATGGTTTTTCTGTTTTATGCTCAGTGTTTCAACTTTTAAGAATCAGGTCAATAAGATTCTTGTATAAAATGGTTGTTTGAATTACTGTATTTCACTGTTAGTTGAGGATAAGGGTGTTCCACATATAGGTTTGCATGAAGCGAAACGATTCATTGTTATTTATCACATTGCACTTTAATCTTTCTCATTTTTTCTAATAAAATAATTTTGTGTTATCCTGATGGGTGGCAAACTCAGTTTTCATCCCACATTAAGTTGGCTACCAACCCTATAAATATATATATATATATATATATATATATATATATTGTTTCTTAAAGTTGTATGTATCTTACAAAGCTTGTACAATGATGGATAATAGAACATAAACAATTGACATCAAAAGAACGTAGCGATTTGAGAGATGCTTTTATAGATGGATGCTATTATTTTTCTCATTTACTCCCCTACTTTAAGTTTTTCTAAATTTTTTGTTTGAATTGGTGATTGTCATATTGTTGGTAATAGTTTAAAAGTTGAACTTATTACTCTGATGCATGGGGAGCATTGTAATGCAACACATGCTTTTAATTTTAGTGCGTGGATGAAAAATGACGAGCTTAGGACCATAATTGGTTGGATTTTTAGATTTAATTTAATGACTCATTTTTTGGAATCTAAAGCATAAGGATGGTGTCTATGTTTGGACTTCATTTTTTATGCGTTTCTATTCTTTGCATTTTTTTT